TTTCGTCCCAGGTCACTGTCTCTGTGCCACAGACCCCATATACATCTATGTCTCTCTATGGCCTTTCCTCTCGGCTCCACACTAGAAGCACTGGCTTTCTAAATATCTCCAATTTGATGTCTGATAACTCCAATTTCACTTGTTCAAGACTAATGTACTGAGTTCCCAGCCTTGCTCCCCCACTTTCGTCCTGCTGTCTCCCCAACAGTAGTAGAGAGAGACTTCATTCTGTCAGTGCTCAGACCAAACATACTGGGAGTCGTTACTGATCCTGTCCTCACACCACAGAGAAGCCATGAGTGAAGCCTGTGAGCTCTTCCTTCTCAGTACGCCACACATCTGATTACACTTCCCCATGACAGCCCTCACTCTGGTCATCATCGTCCCCTACCTGCACACCCAGACTCCCACTGGGTTGTCTCAGTCCACACGTACCCCCATGTATGCTCCCAGTCCAGCAGCTATCGTGACCTAAAAGTTCCCAAATGTTCTCAGAATTCAACCCACACCTGTACAGTGCATCACGAGGCCTTGAAACCCCCCCTCTTTTACCCCACCCCCGTCCCCCACTGCCTCGCATTACTGCGTCTGCTCCAGCCATGTTGGCCTACCTCAGGGCTTTTGTAGCAGCTGTCGCCTCCTCTTGGATGATTTTCTTATTCCCTTATGTTCCTGCTCAAATACCAACTTATCAAATAAACTCCCCTGACCAGGGATCCCTGGGTGGCGCAGCAGTTTAGCGCCTGCCTTTGGCCCAGGGCGCGATCCTGGAGACCCGGGATCGAATCCCACGTCGGGCTCCTGGTGCATGGAGCCTGCTTCTCCCTCTGCCTATGTCTCTGCCTCTCTCTCTCTCTCTGTGACTATCATAAATAAATAAAAATTAAAAAAAATTTAAAAACCTCCCCTGACCACCTGAGGTATATAATAAGCCAGTAAGTCCACTCCAGACTTACCACCACTCTCTAGAACTTACCAGCTTGATTCTTCTATGCATTTATCCTAGAACTTAGCATTGCCTGATATGTATAAATCAAAAAAAATTTTCAACTGTCAACCACACCCTTGCATACTGTGAGAACCAAAACACTATTTTGCTCACCACTATATCCCCAGCACCTAGACAACAATGTCTGGCACATAATTAATTAATCAATTAAGATCTGTTGATTGAATGGCAAGTAAGGAGGAAGACAGGGAGAGAGAGAGGGAAGAGAGGGAGGAAGGGTATAAGACTTAATTGACTTAATATAAAAAAATCTTAAATTTGCTAAAGGATTAGTAAGCAGAAATGTTGGATAATAATAATTTCTTTAAAAAGTGAATTCTCCCTTAAAACTGTATTATAGATACATTGTTTCCAAGGAGTTATCTGTCCTGCCTTATGTTACCAGGGTCAGGCCACAACAGGTCTGTAATGTCATGTCACAGCTGCCACCTTCTAAAAATGTATTGATAATGGATATTTTGTCCAGAGAATGTCAACCTAGATGCTAAGGAGGCATTTGGGGGGAAATATTTTAAAAGTAGGTTATACTCCACTGGGAAAGAGGGGACATAATTCCTCTATTTATTTAGAGAGATCTCATATGGAGTATGGTGTATAGTTTCTTTCTTTCTTTTTCTTTCTTCCTTCCTTCCTTCCTTCCTTCCTTCCTTCCTTCCTTCCTTCCTTCCCTTTTTTTTTTGAGTTGCTACAAAAGTCAAAAACTATACAAATTAGAAAAGAAAAAAAAAAGGAAAAACCCATGACAATTAAGGAGAAGTGGTTAGGTTCTTTTTTTTTTTAATAAATTAATTTTTTATTGGTGTTCAATTTACCAACATACAGAATAACACCCAGTGCTCATCCCGTCAAGTGTCCCCCTCAGTGCCCGTCACCCATTCACCCCCACCCCCCACCCTCCTCCCTCTCCACCACCCCTAGTTCATTTCCCAGAGTTAGGAGTCTTTATGTTCTGTCTCCCTTTCTGATATTTCCCACACATTTCTTCTCCCTTCCCTTATATTTCCTTTCACTATTATTCATATTCCCCAAATGAATGAGAACATACACTGTTTGTCCTTCTCCGATTGACTTACTTCACTCAGCAAAATACCCTCCAGTTCCATCCACGTTGAAGCAAATGGTGGGTATTTGTCGTTTCTAATGGCTGAGTAATATTCCATTGTACACATAAACCACATCTTCTTTACCCATTCATCTTTCGATGGGCACCGAGGCTCCTTCCACAGTTTGGCTATTGTGGACATGGCTGCTAGAAACATCGGGGTGCAGGTGTCCCGGCGTTTCATTGCATCTGAATCTTTGGGGTAAATCCCAACAGTGCAATTGCTGGGTCGTAGGGCAGGTCTATTTTTAATTCTTTGAGGAACCTCCACACAGTTTTCCAGAGTGGCTGCACCAGTTCACATTCCCACCAACAGTGCAGGAGGGCTCCCTTTCTCCACATCCTCTCCAACATTTGTTGTTTCCTGCCTTGTTAATTTTCCCCATTCTCACTGGTGTGAGGTGGTATCTCATTGTGGTTTTGATTTGTATTTCCCTGATGGCAAGTGATGCAGAGCATTTTCTCATGTGCATGTTGGCCATGTCTATGTCTTCCTCTGAGATTTCTCTTTATGTCTTTTGCCCATTTCATGATTGGATTGTTTGTTTCTTTGCTGTTGAGTTTAATAAGTTCTTTATAGATTTTGGAAACTAGCCCTTTATCTGATATGTTAAGTGGTTAGGTTCTAAACGAAAAAGTATCTTACAAAACTCAGAACTGTCTGTGGGTGCAACAACTGCCCTCACAAAGAACATGATTTTTGACAATGGACGTTCCCCAAACAGCCCTGTGGCCAATCACTGTCTACCAAAAGGTTGCACTACATATTTCTAAACCGTAATTTCAATTTAAAACAGTGGTGTACTATTATAGAAAGGAAATTCTGTGTATCAGTCTTAAAAACCCTGATGATATGGATTATATTCAGAAAAAAATATTTTAAAGATCTTGGCAACTATTCCATTATTCTATTATTATCTATTATCTACCTCTTCTATTACCAGTTCATGTGTATAGTATTTCTCAACTGAAGATATACTTTCTCAAAATGTGGCATAAAATACCAGAACCTTTATAAAATAACAGCAAAAAGAATAATCTCTATGTATAGTCTTGTCATCATTTCTAATGGCCTTAAAAATAGTATGTGGTACTGTGTGAACACACAACATCTCTTCTCTCTTCACCCAAAAATAAGGTGCTGGCATACTGAGAATGATGTGGCAATGTCATTATCTGAATCCGAGATGTCTTGCAGCAATATTTTGTGTGGCTAAAATATACAGAAATGTATTCACTAAAAAAGTCCACTCTTCATCTATACAACTGTTCCACCCAAATGTAACCTAAGTTTATATTTAAAGAAGCGGGATGCAATTGCAGAATTGGTTATAACACTGTGGTACAAAACCTTTGTATGTGAGGACACTGGAGGCAAAGAGTGTTCTGGCAAACAGCTGAGTAGAGCTTGAACATACTGACATAAGCAAGTTATCAGAAGCACAATTCTAATCTTTGTTGTCAATACAATAAAATGTCAGGAAAACATGTGGATTGGTGAAAAACACCTCTTTGGGGCATACCTTTCACCATCTCCTTCAAAAACAACACTGAAATCTAAAATTTCTTCAGAATTGTCAGTGTTAAATTGAGGTTAGGCATCTCTTGTACTTTGGGTGAAAGAACAAAAGGGACTATTGATGAGTAAATTGTAGATTTCTCCCCACCGCCCCTGATTGGTGAGGTGCATGGTGCTACTTCAGATTCTAGATGGCTGCTCTGCTGATAGCAACATTGTAGGATCTTGTGACTCTGCCTGAGTGTGCCTGTTAGAACCCCCTCATTAGTCTTTGCTGTACTCCCAGTGGCTGCAAAACTTCCAGGCTGCCCCCTTGAGCCCCCAATACACACAGAAGCACTCAGACTTGGGAAATTTTTTGGGTGTGAGCCCCATTCAGAATGGAGGTCTCCAGTAAAACTGAGATTTACAGAAACCTTAAGAATCTGTAAAGGCTGCTACGGACAGAAGGAATTTTGTCCAGTCTCCAGCAATGGCCCTGGTCCTTCTAGAGTTCTTCAGATAATCAAAAATCAAGGAATATACCTGTATACGTGATCCTATGAACATTACTTCAGTTTATATTTTATTAATAGTGATGTCTTACCTGAGACTGTATCAAATGCAATCCCAACTGATTATTTTCAATATTCCACGTTCAAGGTCTTTATTGTATACGGAATATACAATTCAAATATTTTTCATATGTAATTATTTCTAACTTTGTAGTACTAAGCACAGTTTGGTAAATGCTTTCAGTACTCATGCCCCATAAGCTTTTAAGTTTGGTAAGTCTTTCTTAAAAGTTAACACTAAGTAATTTCTCTTGGACATGAAAACAGTGCATTTAAGACTTCTAAAAGTACTGAGGAATGTCATGTTTTGAATACACAAGCAGTCACCTTTTGTTCTCCTGCAAACAAGATGCAGGAACTCAAAGGCAGGGGCGGAGGAGAGCTGCTCAGTGGGGGAGCGAGTGTGAGGCAGAGGTTCCTGCTCCTTGGCTGGAGCAGCCCAATGCCGTGTTGGGAATGCTGGTGTCAGTGTTTGGCTTCTCCTACAATTTTTCAAGAGAAGCCAGAAATCCAGTCTTTACATGCAGTCTCTCAATTTCTAACGTTGGCAACTCATTCAGAAAACCCCATAAGCATGTGCAGCCCAGACAAAAGGCAGCTGTTAGCTGTGCTCACTTTGGGGGCCTCCACTTTGCAATGGCTCTCCGTCCTGACTGCTCGTCCTGACTGCTCATACTAATGAGTGATGCTCTGGAGCAGACCCTCAGGGTTTGCCATTATTTTTCTAATACTTTAACATGTGAGAGCAATGAGGAAATGTATGAAAGTATTTATTTCCTATCCTGTGGTGGCAGAAATTATGTTCACATTACTTACCCGGCTGACTTCCTTAGGAGCCGATTCATCTGGTGGAAGGAAAAGGAAAGGAAAAACACAATTAGAAACTCTTGAGTAAATTCTGAAATATAGACTATATCACTCACTCTCAATAAACTGGAAGGCTGTTTTGCTATGCTCTCTCTTACAAAATCTAAGAATTTGGCTTAAAAAATTCTATCAAGTAAAGGTTAAACATAATAGAGTTAGATATACAAATAAAATTTGGAAGCAAATGAAATACCACAACAATTCACAGGCCATTCACAGAAGTTCTGAATGGGAACATCTGCAAATAATATTCTAAATGACACAACCACACGGATATCACAAGTGACCATGAACATCTGTGCTGCTGGGGTTAATTACAGCAATTCTTATTTACTGGAGTAAGACATGTCCCTGCATGGCAGCCTGGTCAAGGCACGAAAGACACCTGTCAGCAGGACAGCTTTGACCTGTGAGTCCTGGGCATTGTGGGGCTGCCTGTAGCAGCTTGTTAGCAGCATCTCCCATAAAGCGAGACTGATGGATGGATGTCACCTGGCCTAAGTCGACCCTCCAAGGAGATCTCGCTGCGGGGCAGGCCACATGAAACAGTACGCTTATGTGACCAACAGGGTACAAGAAAAAACTGGCCAAGGCTCCACCCTTGGTCACTGGTTTTGAACCAAAGCATATTTATGTGGCCTTTACAGGCAGCACCTGCACTGGGCCGCTCCAGAGCCCTCAACGGGAGGCAGCCTTTAATATAATGCTAGTGCTATCCTGTGTCTCCTTCACTAATCAAATAATCAAATCCTATCTGACTACCACTATCAGCGCACACCGAACATGCCCCCAGACCTCATGTGTTCTGTGTTCCTCCAAAGCACCATCTAATTTATCATGACACTGACAACATGTCCCACAAGTTCAAATGGCTGTGACTCTCCTTCCTCTTTCAATATCCGCATTAACTGCTGAGTCCTGTTTCTTTTATTCTAATCTTTCTCCAATCTGCTGCCTGCCAACATTTCTACACATAACACCACGTCTAGTGCCAAGTCACATTTTAACCAGCAGCCTCCAGACTGGTTGCTGGATCCAGTATCTGCCCTGGCAACCACCACACACACACACACACACACACACACATACGTGCATGCAAACACATGCACATTCGCATGCACACACACGCATACATCTGTCCTGTCCCTCAGAGGCTCCAGAACCTAAAGGAAACTAGATTTAAAAACTGGTTGTGGGGATCCCTGGGTGGCGCAGCGGTTTGGCGCCTGCCTTTGGCCCAGGGCGCGATCCTGGAGACCCGGGATCGAATCCCACGTCGGGCTCCCGGTGCATGGAGCCTGCTTCTCCCTCTGCCTGCTTGTGTCTCTGCCTCTCTCTCTCTCTCTGTGACTATCATAAATAAATAAAAATTAAAAAAAAATAAAAAATAAAAACTGGTTCTGTAAATGACTTTGCCTGGAGCCTTTCCGAAATTACCAAGCTTGGGACTACTGGATAGTAGATGCTCAATAAATAGTCCCTATTGTTTGGCATGACTGTATTAATACACGCTTGCTTAAATATGTTCATCTGATTGCTCCCTAGTGACTTCAGCACTGCATCTGACCCCTTCAGAATGTCCCTAAGCATGTCAGAGGAAAAGCACTTAACTCTGCCCTCCACACTGAAGTCACATCACAGCAGAATTTCATCTACTCAATTCCCAACGCTTCACCCTTCCCAAACACCCCCAGAGGGGGGACTATGTGATTTAGTCACTACAACAAATGTATTAACAGATTCTAAAGCTACAGAGGTTTATATGTTCTTAACTTTTCTCTAAGAAATGCAGTGAGCACGGTCAGATGTCCCAGTGGATGAAGAAGCACATAACGAAAAGCAGCAATTGTGCGAACAGGTTTACTATCAGGAGTGAATGGTACTCAGGGCTGTGGCACTTAGGGGCCTCCCACTTTCACAGTCTTCCTCAGATCTGAATGCTGGATCACGGGAAAAAGAATCTCAATGTCCAGATGTCTATAAATGCATGTACCCTTTGTTTTTTCCTTTAGTTTTGCGAGATGTTTCTCAAAACTTGACGCTTGAGTGTGCATTAAGGTAACTCTACCAGTACGTATTTATACACATTGAAGGTGTACCGTCTATGAAATCCTCCAAGGGATTTTTTTCCTCATGAGCTGTTCTTCCCAAGGCTTTAAAAAAAATTATTAAAATGATGTTGAGATTGAAGAGGTTTTCTTCTTTTTTTTCTCTTATTAAATAAATTTCTTTTTCACAGTCATAGACATTTCCTCTCTGGAATTGGTTTTTGTTTTCTTGTTTATTCATCCCACCAGAATGTGAGCTCCGTGAGAATAGGGATACATGCCTGGCATATAATGATTCCATAGTACATATTTGTTGAATAAACAAATGTTAATTGAACCTCTAAAGCTGCATAAAAATTAGTGTCTGCTGTTGTGAACATTTTTGTTACTAATTTGATGCTCATGAATTATTCAAAATCTTGCATACATGGCAATTTCTTACTTTTCCATAATCCCCAACACCTTTCATTTTAAAGCAAACTTCATGGCTGAGCTGTGTGAAATATGGTTTCAACAATCCAGTCCTGACTGTGTGTTGGAAGTACAGAGACATTTCAGTCATGGGTTCTTAGAAGGAGACATTCTTAGCACTGGGCTCTTAACCTGGAATTACTAGATGATTTGCAAGGACTTATGAACCACATGAGGAGAATGGGATGATCTTTCTGTTCTGTTAATTTGAAAATGTCTTTATGGAAAAAATTGTTTTTCAGAATCAAATTATTTTGTCAGGATATTAAGTCAAAATTAAGTACTTATAAATCTTTAAATCTGTGCATATATTTGTACTTTTATTTTTGTGATCACTTTAGATCATGCTTTGATATGAAATGGGATTTCAGGGATGAATCCAAATATAGTTAGAACATAAAGGAATTTATACTCTGATGGCTGATTTGAAGTTCTATGGCTGCTTATCATGGTCTTTGCTCTGTGTTTAGTTTTGTGGCATTATTACTCTATGTTCCAAGAATGTGTTTTGAACAACTTCTACTTTTTAAATTGATCAATCGTTTCCTTGAAGTTTAACATACACTTTTACTAAATCTTCCATGGACAAGTTTAATTTCAGCACTTATTCTGCAGTATAAGAAGGGAAGTTCAAGATGTCACATACTGATACTGTGCCTCCAAAGAAAAAAGGAAGGACTTCACTGTGTCTCTGTCCCATAAAACTGTCCACTCACTTCACTTTGAGGGTTTTGCAGGTGTTCTAATATACCTAAATGGAGCATATCTGTTGCCTCATTATGGAAAATACTTATTTCCCAAGAAAATTAACTAACTAGGCATTTTTTAACATACAATTGACTGTTGAACAACATGGGTTTGAACTGAACGGATCCACTTATACATGGGATTTTTTTTGACAAATATACTACAGTACTGTAAATGTATTTTCTCTTACAGTTTTCTTAATATTTTCTGTTCTCTGGCATATTGCAAGACTACCATACATACATTAACATACAAAATGAGTTAATCTACTGTTTATGTTATTAGTATGGTTTTTTTCTGGTCAACAGGAGGCTATTAGCTAAGTTTGGGGGAGCCAAAGGTTACATGTAGATTTTTGACTGTGGTGGTGGGGGGCAGGTCAGCACCCCTAAGTGCTGTGGTGTTCTGTTCAAGGGTCAATTGTACTTCTATCTCCTAGGAGGTGGCATGGCTCTGTTCAGCCTCCTCCAACCATTCCTGCATTCTGCAGGAGCTGTGGAGCTTGTCTAAAGACAGCTGTCTTCTTACAATGCACTCTTAATGATTCAATTCCCAAATAGTCATCAAACATGTAATACATGTCAGATACTGAATAAATGTCTCAGTTGGCCCAATCAGTTTGAAGGGAAGGACTTAAATTTCATGGTTCTGAGAGAACCACAAGCATAATGACTGGCCCTAGCGTATCAATCATGAGGGGAGTCAGCCTGAAATCAGCTGACCTTGAAGCCTGGTCAACCTAGGGGCTCCTACATATGTGAGAGTTAATTTACCTATTTATTTAGCTGATTTTAGGAGGTCAAACTAAAAACACCTCAAAAAAGCATGAAGGAATGTTAACAAGATGTTACTAGAACATTACTTTTATAACACTAATTTAACACAGTTACTTAAAATAAAAGCTCCAGAAAGTTCTTCCATTCCTACCAAAAAATAAACAAATTCCTTTGCTAAGGATTTAAGTCCTCACAGTTTGGTTCTGCTCTGTTTTTCCAACTGGAGTATACAGCACATGGGACTCCCCTCCCACTCCAGTAAGACTGGTCTTTCTAGAGTTCCAAGCATGTTTTGCTAACTCTTAACTCAAAATCTCCGTATCTTCAAACAGTAATTACTGAGTATCTACTAAAAGCCTGGCACTACTCTAGGTGCCTACAATATATCTCAGACCAAAAGAAAAAGACAATAATCCTGTCCTCATGAAGCTTTATTTTAAAGGCAGAAGGGTGTCCGTAAACATGATAAAACACTAAATTATGCAGGAAGTTCTCAGGGCTCAATGCCTTAAAGTGGGAAACAAAGGGGCACACGTTAGGAAGCACTGGAGAGCAGGTTAGGGAGGGGAGTGGCGGAGGTAGGGGGCCAGAAAGCAGAAAGGAGTGGGCAGAGTGGGCCTCCTCCAGGTGTTGAGCTACGAAAACAGCTACCTGAGGAAAGTGTCTTCCAACCAGAGGGATCAGCCTGAGCAAAGACCCTGAGACCTGAGCATCCCTGCTGTTTCTTGTCAAAGTTTCAGGAATTAGCTCAGCTTGCATTGTGCTCATGTCTCTCCCCATTCAATCTGAATTACATTCTGTCTTCTGTTGATAGCTAGACACACGTGGGTGACTTAACTTCTTGACTGAATAAAAGTTCTTGAAGACAAGAGACATCTAATATTTCTTTCCCATTACTGAAGAAAAAAGGCATTCCAAAAAATGATTCTTGAATGA